AGGTGGTGGTGGACGGTGGTGGTGGTGGCGGTAGATGGTGGCGGTGGTGGTGGACGACGATGGTGATGGACGGTGACGGTGATGGTGGACGGTGGTAGTGGTGGACGGTGGCGGTGGACGGTTGTGGTGGTGAAGAGAAGTAGAAAAAAAAAGGAGAAGATGTTAGAAGACATTGGTTAATGTCTTCTCCAAGAAGATGCCAGGAAGACCTTTTTGAGTGAAATGTCTTCCAAAAAACAAACAATCTGCAGAGTCCATCGTCTGCGCGCGTCTGCGCGGCGCAGATTAAAGACGCCAGAAGATCTTCTGGCAGAAAAACAAACACCCCCTTAGTCTTCCTCAACATTTTGGCATAACAAACATTTTGGCATAACAAACAGACATCACTTTTGTTTTTGCAATTCTTGATAGAGGTGTCCTTAATAGGTGTATATGTTATCATTTGATCCATAAAATGTCCTTTTTCAAGGCAATACCCTACACCAGCTTCCTAATATTGGCTTTATTCCAAAGGACTAGATTTTTAAGGCCTAAGCATCCATACTTCTTAGGTAGACAAATATCATCCCAAGCAATCAAAGGAATTTTTCTTGCATAGACTCTTACTATCTATATAAAACACTAAAAAAATTGCAGGCACATATTGGTATTTTCCTAGCATTATTGTTTAAAATTTATGGTTTAAATTGTCTGTTTCGATTTACGATGTTTGATTGAAGTTGTTTTCAAATAATTTTATATGAAAAATGGTGTGCAATTAAACAAAATTACATATTTAAAAATTATATTAAAAGATCTACCAAACTAATGGTGACATGACTATTATTTTATTAAGTGACTATCAAAAATATAGAAAAAAAAGTGAATAAAATTTTAGCCCTGATAAGCAATTTAATTTGGAACGGAGGAAGTACATCTTATACAGTGTTCGTTCTATACAGATTACCTATATTTTATTTAGTTGGTATTTTGTATGTACCCTTGGAATATGAAAGTTATTCAATCAATATATTCATATGTTATAATTACATCATGGCATTGTGTAAATCTTTTTTACGCCGGTGTGCGAATGATGATAGTCAAGCTGCATTTACTTTCAGAACCTATATTCACTACTCATTTGATAATATAATATAATCACATATATCATGTTTCATATAATTTTTTATGAAGTTTCAAATCCAATCTTTTTGCTGTTTTATTTATGACATTGGCTTGGGCAGGGCATGCATTTAAAACCAAAATGAGAAAAAGTACATCAGAAATCATAACAGGAAACACCTGTATGTGTAACCTTACTTTTCCATGACCAAATTCTGGTCTCTGGTATTTTATTACATCTCTAATTGTGTGTGTATCTGTGTGTGTGTGTGTAATATTCATTTAATTCATCAAAGTACCGCATAAAACAGCAAAAAATATATAAAATCGCAGACACAGGAATTATTCCTAAGACATTCTTGGAATGCCAAGCCTGCAGCGGAAGTCTTCCTCCATGAGAGAAATGCCATCACGCAACTTAACCTTTGGTTCCCAACCAAGCAACTCCTTCGCCTTTGTGATGTCCGGTTTCCTCTGCCGCGGGTCGTCCGGCGTGTTCTCCACCTCTTTTATCTTCACCTCCCCATTAATCATCTGATTGCCACCCACCCAGCCAGCCAACCAAACAATCAAGAAAACATGTTAGAACATAAAAGTGTTTTCTGCGCCTACAACCACGAGTCTGAGCTTTTGGTTGAGTTGGTTCTTTGACAAAATGGATTATCGAAATAGATCTTTCTTTCTTTACCTCTTTCATGACATCCGCCAATTCAAGCATGGTAAATTCGCCTTACAGAGTGAAAGAAATCCGAGCGTGAGGGAGTGAAAAGTTTTATTACAGCCAAGAATTCATAAAGTGCTACTAATAGAGTAATAGGAATGACTGACCTGGATTCCCAATGTTAATAGGTCCCGTATGGTCTCCCTCCATAAGACGAATAAGGCCATCAACCTTCAGCAAATCGGCGAGTCAAAAACTTTATTTTAAAAAAAAAAACTTTTCAACTTCATTTCAGTAAATTTCCGTTGAAAAGAACACACACTAACTCGTACCATGTCAGACACGTAGCAAAAGCTGCGAGTTTGAGTTCCGGGCAACTGCACAGTCAAAGGCTCATTGCTAAACAGAGTTTATTTATTATGAAGGGTCAGAAGGAAGTACATGTAAGAATAAAAAATCAACAAAGGTATAAGAGTAAAGAGCCACGAGTATATTGGTTCTTGGAGTACTACCGAATCGCCTGGGCAAGGAAATTGCTAACCACGCGACCATCGTCAATATTCATTCGAGGGCCATAAGTGTTGAAGATTCTAGCAATTCGGATTTCTTTCCACAAAAAAAAATGACAACAAAGGAAAATAGTTTTAAAAATGTTTTGTTTTAACTTGGAAAATACAAAAGAAAGTCAAATTTGTTATTTTAGATGATAAAAGAAATCTCACGAATTCCATGTTGCCTGTGATAATCAAACATCAACGTCTCAGCAACTCTCTTCCCCTCATCATAGCAGCTCCTTACCCCTGAAATCCAAACATATGATTTTCAGCTCATTAAACGAATTCAAGATTGGCTAAAGCACCCGGCCTCTACTTCCAAGCACACAAAAACGAATATAGAATACTCTTTGGTTACCTATTGGGTTAACATTGCCCCAATAGCTCTCGTCCTGCGGGTGGACAAGAGGATCTCCATAAACCTCAGATGTCGAAGTGAGGAGAATCCTATCACATAACCATACAAGATGAGAAATGAAACCATTTTCATATATATTAGCGGGAAAGGAAAACAATTAATTAATTTTTAACCTTGCACCAACTCTCTTTGCAAGTCCCAACATGTTTAGGGTCCCAATTACATTTGTTTTAATTGTCTGCATTTATGCATCAAACAATCCAAAAGAAAGAATAATTGTCAGCCAATGTACCACTCATTATATTAACTTTTTTTTAAATTTAAAAATAAAAGAGCCACTTGAACATAAAGAAATCCACCCTTCATTACTGACCTTCACTGGATTATATTTGTAGAAAATTGGAGAAGCTGGACAGGCAAGATGATAAATTTGGTCCACTTCAACTAACAATGGCTCCGTGACATCTGATCATAACAATAAATAATAAGTTTCTATAAGTGCAGAAACAACAAAATAAACCTTATTCGTATCAATGCAAAAACACGCATAGAAAATCGGGCAGGGAGGAAGACATACCGTGACGTAAGAGCTCAAATCTTGGATGTCCAATCCATTGCTTCAGGTTATCCTTTGATCCAGTAAAGTAGTTGTCTGCAACAATCACCTAAACAAAGCAACACACACATGAGCTTAATCTGCTTTTCCCTTAAGTTTGCTGAAATGGGTTTGCAAAATTCGGCAGATATTCAAATTCAATCATTTCTGCAAAGGGATTTAAATCTCAGTGCATTTTGATGGCAATAAACGCAAAACAGAAGCCACCCGATTACCTCATTCTTCTCATTCTGCATCAGCCTGTCAACAAGGTGAGAGCCAATGAAACCGGCACCACCCGTTACCAAAATCCTCATGTTTGCCTATCATGTCATATTTAGGCCAAACACAATCATGAGAATTATTTTTTTTAAAAAAACCAGAAAATACAAAATGTCAAAATTTACTTTATATGTTGTAAGCACTTCCTTTTACCTGGAAAAATTTGGCCTTTCTCAATGGTGAAGGCTCTGGAGGTTGTTTAACTCCATTTGAGGCCATTTCTTTGGATACTGTCACAATTTATTACACACAGAGTAATAAAAAATACATAAGAATGAACACAAATTATTGAAATTCAATTCCACAATTATTTTAGCAGAGAGGAAGCCCAATTTCAGGGGTATATATATTTTGTGTCATTGTGTGTGTGAGTGTGTGTCTGATCAAACAATTCAAAACTGAACATGATTGTTGTAGAACCAACCGATTATGGACAACTAACGACAGGGACAAAGAAACAGATATTCTTGAAAATTAAGCAAACAAAAATTGAAATCAGACCACGCAAAGGAGAAAAAAGGTGGTGGCAGAAGTTGCAGATCTGAATCTAATTCGCCCAACAAAATCAAATGTTCATATCACATGAAATTAGAAACTAATCGTTGATAAATACCGAAGGGAGTGAAGAGCAATTTCCAGCTGATGAACGAAGAACACTACTGTTTCGTTTATATATTGCTCCTCGTAATATTTTACAGGAAAGACAGGTTTGGGTTGGTGAACGATGATATTGAAATTGGACCCTAACCGTATATTTCCAATAAAACTGTGAAATACTATAATCTCAAAATCGCCATTTTTTTGGTACTATGATGACAATTCTTACGAGTGCTCATTTTTAAAGATTTCTGTTTTAGATGGTGTTAAGATCTGATCTTCCTTTGTTAAACTTAGAAAAAATTACTCCCTCCTTGCCAAAATATAAGCAACACTCCACTATTTAAAAATCTCGGGACTTTTATTTCTTTTTGCATTTTTATTGACTATTTGATAGAATAAAATATTCTTGTCACCACTTGTTTTGTAGAACTTTTGACGTAGTTTTAAAATATATAAATTTTATTTTTCATTTGTAGATCATTCTTTAAATAAAATGGATTGAAAAAATTCAAAAAATTACTTCGTTTAGCGTAATGTGGAAAATAATTTGGAACGGAGGGAGTATTTAAAATAATCTCAATTTAACTGGGTATTTAAAAAATAATCATATATTTCACTGTGATGCATTATAATCCAAATTTTATTGAATTTTGAGAGTTTTGACTCGCTATTATATTTCTAATGTCAAATTAATGGAAATGATTGTTTTACACAACAAAACAAAAGTTGGAATTATTTTTTTTAAACATCACAATGAAAGATGAGATTATTTTTAAACGATAGGTAAAATTGGAATTTTTTTGGATAATTTTTCCTTAAACTTATTTTATTTATAAAAAATATCTCTACTATGACTTTTGTCTTTTTCCGGTTTTAATTTTGTGCACTCCATCAAATTCAACATTTGACATATAATCAATTAAAAATATATGATAAGATAAAACAATACTCCGTATTTTGAACATATTTTATAAAATAAATTTTATAAAATTATTTTTGTATCAATATTTATTATTAAATTTATTAAATTAATGGTCAATGTTTATTACATATTAATTTTAACTATAAAAAGTCAAAACTAGATAAACATTCAGAGACAAAATAATAATTTTGTATCTCAAAAAAAAGATAATAATTTTGGTTTTACATCTACAGTATTTGGTCAAATTTGTCTATTTGATACGGTATAAATGAAGTGAATATATCAAAATTCAATTTTGATTTAGCAATAACCATTCTTTTATTTGCTTTCTCAAAAACTAGGAAGAATATATTTACAAGCGAGATCTTTTTCCTTATTCTATTTTTGTCAAATACATAAATCACGCGAGTAAGATGAGATGGAATTTTATATACAAGCACAGGCCACTTGAGTCAAGAAATATTTGAATAAATAATTTGAAATTGATAGTGCAAAAAATGAATTAGAATAGGTGAATTCAATTCTATCGAATTGAATCTCATGGAATTTCAATTCCAATTCTATCAATTCCGTATACCAAACGGGTTCTAAGGCCCCGTTTGGTACACGGAATTCAAACTATGGAATTGGAATTGAGGACTTCAATTCCAATTCTGGTGTTTGGTAGCACAAAAATTATGTGGATTTGGAATTGATAGTGCAAAAAATGAATTTAAATTGGCAGAATTCAATTCTATGGAATTGAATCTCATGGAATTTCAATTCCAATTCAATTCCAATTCCATCAATTCCTTATACCAAACGGACCCTAAGTAATTTCAAATAGGACTTAGACATATCAGTTTTCGCTAAATAGAACGAGTTTTATCTATTCTATCGCTTTACAATGGAAAATTATAAAATATCATGCATTTTAGAAAAATGATATATTACACATTTCAAGTAGAATAAGATATTATTAAAAATAATTTGAATAGTCATTTAAATAATCACTCATTATCAAACATTGTTGGCTAATGACCACATTCGTAGAGTCATTCGTATAATCAGTCATTATCCCACACTTGTTGCTAATATGGGCATATATGACAAATTATATCAAATTATGTGTCATAAAGATAATAAAACATATTTGATCTTATTTAGAGAAACGTACTATCTTTTACTCCTAAATGAAGCAAATTTTCAATAACTTAAGCATGTATGCTCAGATTTCTAACTAGAGGGGTACGTGGTACGACATGATACGTTATTTAGCTTGTACCAATATAATATGTAATGTTTTGGTTAGGTATGAGATATTACGTAGTACCGATAGCTAACCATATCGATTGGTTGAGAGTATCTCTGCGCTGCTGCCATGTTCTTTTCACCCTATCTGAACGGTTCTGATCTAATTGGAATAAATTTTGATCTGATTTGGTATCATCTGATCAAAATGTAGTTATATTTAAAGTTATTTCTGATTTGATATCTAATCTGATTTCAATAAGAAAATGTAAGAAAATGGAGTCATACAAAACACGAAAAAAGTACTCTTTAAAAATTGACATTTCAAAACTAAATTTCAAATAAAAAATCTAATTATATTATGTTTAAATTATATAACAATGTAAAACAAATTTGTCTTGATTAATACTCGTAAACCTTTTTACATCTTTGTTTTTTTTTTTTGAAGTCACATCTTTGTTTAATAACGAAAGGCTGAAACAAAATTTATAATGAGGAATTTTGAAGTTGAGATCACATGCAACTCGACAAAATATGATACTCCGTAATATTTTGCGTAATTCGACAGAAAGTGAGATTCTTTTGATCAAAATACATACTCCCTGACAAAATATTTTCGTCTCATCATTATGTCCGCCTTTTTCACCAGTACACTAATGACTATTCAAAAAACACAACTATTTGAAAAGGTAGGATAATTTGATTAATTTCATTTAACATTGAAAGACAGTATTATGTTTTACAGACCACATAAATGTTAGATTTTTTAAAATGTTTTTTTATGGAAAATTTATGGCTATAAAAAACGAGACAGACGAACAACTCAAAAATGGAAAGCTAATAAAAATAAACTCAACGTTATAAGATAACTATTACAACAATTTGTAATAAACAAAAAAATTCATGGAAAGCATGGCATAACGAAAGGCCCTATATATGTTGGACAGGACAACCGGGAGAAGCAACAATGAGTGAAGGAATGTTGAATTGGAACCACTTAAAACAAGGAAGAATAAATTAAAGAAAGTGGACTCCTCAAAAATACAGGTCAAGCCCGTTAAACTAAACATCCATTCAGAATAACTGATGCAAACAACCAACAATTGACAATCAACATTCAAACAAGACCTATAACTTTCGTATAAAGAAGTAAAATCCTATGTTTTAGAAATCAATTTATTTAGAAATTAGTATAGAAATAGAGAAGAAATTTGCATATTACAAAATACATTAAACATTTTATAAAACAAGATGTGATAGAAAACGTTTGTTTTACCAAATAATCAACGAAAAATAAAATATGAATAAACAATTTTTTTTAGAGCCGATAGAAAAAAATGTACAGTAATAGGGATGGAGAATGAAACAGTTGCAGTACAACATATGATGGGAACTAATTCTGTCAATGCTTGCGTGCAGTTTTAATTAAACAGCTACCAGTACACTCTGTAGCCAGCCAATTATAATGCTCCATTCGTTTCACACTCGTCACAGCATTTATTCTAATCACAAATACTCGTCGTTTTCGAACTCGGTTGATTTCGCGGGCCCGTATCGTCACATGACGCGGTTTGGCCAACCACTGATCCGTCTAGCATTAAGAATAATAACCTGTTGATGGGCCTGGGTCGACGAAACAGAAACCAGGCCCACAAACTCATCTCAAAGAGGATATCGCGACCCGTATATTGCGAAACAGACAACCCGATAACCCGACAGCAAGGACGAGAGGCCCAGGAAAACGAACCCGGCAAATCCTAACCCGATCGAGATGTAGGACTGGATGCAGAACGCATTGTTGTCCGTACACGTCCCCGAGCTCCTCAACGTCCGGGCGAACGACGCGCCGGCCGCTCCCGCCGAGAGTGACATGTAGGCGAAGACCTACAGAAGCGCAATACGACGGCGTATTTATCAGCCGTGTTCAGATTTGCGCAGGTTAGGTTAGGAAGGGGGAGGAAGTACCTGATCGTGGCCGAAATCGAACCAGACTTGGATCGCTTCCGGGAAGACGGTGGTGGCTCTGGCGATTTCCCAGACGGAGGCTCCGACTTCGAAGAGCGAATACGCGGCCACAATTCCGCTCGCAACCGCCACAAATCTGAGCAANTCCGCCCAATCCTTCAACAACGCCGCTGCTTCACACTTGCAACCGCAAGTTGGATCCTCCATGCCATATAATTTATTCCAAATAGTAACAAATTGATTATAATAGACAACCACAGTTTGGCCTTTTTGACGAAGATTTTGAAGCTCGTTTTCAAGTTGGTAAATGTGAGGCTCATTTACCGTACTATAACGTGCCTTCAAATCGGTCCACAATTCATGAACCACAGTATGGGAAGCAATACTGGGTTGAATTGTTTCTTCAACACTGTTAAAAATCCAACTACAAATTGTAGAATTATTGGCTTCCCAAGCCTCAATTTCTATCGGATCTGTAGGTTTAGGCACACCAACGGGTGACAAAACCCCTGCCTTGCTACGACCCTTCAACGCATTCACAATAGTTTTCTCCCATGTATCAAAATTATCGCCTTTCAAAACATGCTTCGTGAGAGCATTACCTGGGCCTTCGGAAGGATGAAGATAATACTCAGACGAGGGATCATGAATCAAACGAGTTTTCTTCGTGGTGGACGTCATTGCCAATTTTCAAAGAGAAACAGAATCGCCGGAGACCAAATTATTGGAGTATTCGCTTGCCAATAATTGAAGAACGCCGCAACAATAGGAAAACAATAGGAAGGACCAATAATTGAACCTCCGCAACAATAATTGATCCTCCTCTGCCGAAGTAACTATTAGCGTCGCCGACGGGAAATTCGCTGGCCACACACGATCACACACAAACACACGATCGACCGACGGCGATCGAGATCAGCACCGAAAAAAAACGTATCTTGCCCAGGGTTTGGCTCTGATACCATGTAAAAATTTAGAGTAAAACTGATCTGTTTTCATTAAACAACCAAGACCGTATATATACAAGTTTACACGAAACGGGCTAGGGTTACACGAGGCCCAATACAAAAATACATTTAAATACAAATATCCGCTAACACACACACACACAGATATATATATATATATATATATATATATATATATATATATATATATATATATATATATATATATATATATATATATATATATATATATATATATATATACTTCCTCCGTCCCAAAAATTTTTACACATTTTGACTAAAGTGGAAATTAAGAGAGGGATAATTTTGTGTTGACTTTCCAAAAATAACCTTGATTTGATGCGTAAAAGTAGGATGTGATGTGTAGAATATAAAGAGAAAGGTATGATGTGATAGGTAGGATTTGAAAAAATAACTTTTGTAAATTTTAGACGATGCTGAAATTTTTTTCAGATCTGAAATTTCTCTGTTAATTCCGATGCTGGTTTAATCACGGATGACTTTTGTAGCTGAATCATAATGATACTTTATTTCGTTTTTCTTCGTGGATCTGTAGTGTTATGCTCTGTATCTTCGGATTCTCAATTGATCTTCATCTTCTTAAAATTAACATCTGAGTATTTGCTTATCAGAGGCTTTAAAAAATTTGCAGTTGAATTTACCATTTTTTCTCAAGACCTAAACACCATCGTTAAATTCACATAAAAAAATCATCTTTAAATTCACATTTGCAAACTAATACTCCTCTCAGGATTCAAACAAAATTGACAAATCGTTTTTGAATCCCTGCGTCTATGAGTTGAGTGGCTTTTTGTGATTCACAAATATCATTTCGGTTTGTGAGTATTTATTCATTGAGAGCTTCTTTGGTACGTCTGTTTATTAATTTTGTGCATTTTTTTACATATATTTTAAATGAAAAAAGGTGGAAAAAAAACTGAGAAAAGTGAGAAAAAAGAGAAAATTAGAATTTTGGTGAAATTTTCGGTTTCTGTATCGATCCGGCGCAAAGATTTTAGACAGTCTTGACCGTTGATTAGGCTCCAATCGACGGTTTAGAAAAGCGCATTTCGGTCGGATTGATGACATGGCACAGAGCTTGAATTAATATACACTCTGGGGTCTTTTTAAGGGCCGGGGTCCACATTCGAAAATACCCATTCACAAGGTCAAGGAATGCGAATTCGTGATGTAAAGCTGGTGACCCGAATTGTTAATGGGTATTTTATTCACTACTCATTTGAATAATTATCTTGTTTCATAGAATTTTTTATAGTCAATGTGCGAATGATAATAGTCAAGCTGCATTTACTCATTATATCTTGTTTCTTAGAATTTTTATGAAGTTTCAAATCCAATCCTTTTGCTGTTTTATTTATGACATTTGCTTCCGGCAGGGCATGCATTTAAAACCAAAATTGGGAGAAGTACATCAGAAATCATAACAGGAAACACCTATATGTGTAACCTTACTTTTCCATGACCAAATTGTGGTCTCTGGTATTTTATTACATCTCTAATTGTGTGTGTATCTGTGTGTGTGTGTAATATTCATTTAATTCATCAAAGTACCGCATAAAACAGCAAAAAATATATAAAATCTCAGGCACAGGAATTATTCCTAAGACATTCTTGGAATGCCAAGCCTGCTGCGCAAGTCTTCCTCCATGAGAGAAATGCCATCACGCAACTTAACCTTTGGTTCCCAACCAAGCAACTCCTTCGCCTTTGTGATGTCCGGTTTCCTCTGCCGCGGGTCGTCCGGCGTGTTCTCCACCTCCTTTATCTTCACCTCCCCATTAATCATCTGATTGCCACCCACCCAGCCAGCCAACCAAACAACCAGACAAGAAAACATGTTAGAACATTACAGCCTTTCCTGGGCCTTGGTTCTTTGACAAAGTGGACTATCAAAACAGATCTTTGTGTCTTTACCTCTTTCATGACATCCGCCAATTCAAGCATGGTAAATTCGCCTTACAGAGTGAAAGAAATCCGAGTGTCAGTGAGTAAAAAAAATTTTATTACAGCCAAGAATTCATTAAGTGCTACTAATAGAGTAATAGGAATGACTGACCTGGATTCCCAATGTTAATAGGTCCCGTATGGTCTCCCTCCATAAGACGAATAAGGCCATCAACCTTCACCAAATCGACGAGTCAAAAACTTTATTTTAAAAAAAATAAAAAAATATTTTCAACTTCATTTCAGTTGAAAAGAACAGACACTAGCTCGTACCATGTCAGACACATAGCAAAAGCTGCGAGTTTGAGTTCCGGGCAACTGCACAGTCAAAGGCTCATTGCTAAACAGAGTTTATTTATTATGAAGGGTCAGAAAGAAGTACATGTAAGAATAAAAAAAATCAACAAAGTTGTAAGAGTAAAGAGCCACAAGAATATTGGATCTTGGAGTATTACCGAATTGCCTGCGCAAGAAAATTGCTAACCACGCGACCATCATCAATATTCATTCGAGGGCCATAAGTGTTGAAGATTCTAGCAATTCTGATTTCTTTCCACACACAAAAAAAAAGTGACAACAAAGGAAAATAGTTTTAGAAAAATGTTTTGTTTTAACTTGGAAAATACAAAGGAAAGTCGAATTTGTTATTTTAGATGACAAAAGAAATCTCACGAATTCCATGTTGCCTGTGATAATCAAACATCAGCGTCTCAGCCACTCTTTTCCCCTCATCATAGCAGCTCCTTACCCCTGAAATCCAAACATATGATTTTCAGCTCATTAAACGAATTCAAGTTTGGCTAAAGCACCCGGCCTCTACTTCCAAGCACACAAAAACGAATATATAATACTCTTTGGTTACCTATTGGGTTAACATTGCCCCAATAGCTCTCGTCCTGTGGGTGGATAAGAGGATCTCCATAAACCTCAGATGTGGAAGTGAGGAGAATCCTATCACATAACCATACAAGATGAGAAATGAAACCATTTTCGTATATATTAGCGGGAAAGGAAAACAATTAATTTTTTTAACCTTGCACCAACTCTCTTTGCAAGTCCCAACATGTTAAGGGTCCCAATTACATTTGTTTTAATTGTCTGCATTTATGCATCAAACAATCCAAAAGAAAGAATAATTGTCAGCCAATGTACCACGTATTATATTAACATTTTTTTAAATTTAAAAATAAAAGAGCCACTTGAACATAAAGAAATCCACCCTTCGTTACCGACCTTCACAGGATTATATTTGTAGAAAATTGGGGAAGCTGGACAGGCAAGATGATAAATTTGGTCCACTTCAACTAGCAATGGCTCCGTGACATCTGATCATAACAATAAATAATATGTTTCTATAAGTGCAAAAACAACAAAAAAAAACCTTACTCGTTTCAATGCAAAAACACGCATAGAAAATCGGGCAGGGAGGAAGACATACCGTGACGTAAGAGCTCAAATCTTGGATGTCCAATCCATTGCTTCAGGTTATCCTTTGATCCAGTAAAATAGTTGTCTGCAACAATCACCTAAACAAAGCAACACACACATACATGAGCTTAATCTGCTTTTCCCTTAAGTTTGCCGAAATGGGTTTGCAAAATTCGGCAGATATTCAAATTCAATCATTTCTGGAAAGGGATTTGAATCTCCGTGCATTTCGATGGCAATGAACACAAAACAAAAGCCACCCGATTACCTCATTCTTCTCATTCTGCATCAGCCTGTCAACAAGGTGAGAGCCAATGAAACCGGCACCACCTGTTACCAAAATCCTCATGTTTGCCTATCATGTCATATTTAGGCCAAACACAATCATAAAAATTATTTTTGAAAAAAAATATATACAAAATAAAAAATCCACTTTATATTTATAGTTAATGCTTCCTTTTACCTGGAAAAATTTGGCCTTTCTCAAAGGTGAAGGCTCTGGAGGTTGTTTAACTCCATTTGAGGCCATTTCTTTGGATACTGTCACAATTTGATCCACACGGAGCATTAAAAATACATAAGAATGAACACAAATTATTAAAATTAAATTCCACAATTATTTCACCAGTACTAATTATGTGAATATATTACAGCAGAGAGGAAGCCCAATTACAGGGGTATATATATTTTGTGTGTGTGTGTGTGTGTCTGATCAAACAATTCAAAACTGAACATGATTGCTGTAGAACCAACCGATTATGGACAACTAACGACAGGGACAAAGAAACAGATATTCTTGAAAATTAAGCAAACAAAAATTGAAATCAAACCACGCAAAGGAGAAAAAAGGTGGTGGACAGAAGTTGCAGATCTGAATCTAATTCGCCCAACAAAATCAAATGTTCATATCGCATGAAATTAGAAATTAATCGTTGATAAATACCGAAGGGAGTGAAGAGCAATTTCCAGCTGATGAACGAAGAACACTACTGCTTCGTTTATATATTGCTCCTCATAATACTTTACAGGAAAGACCGGTTTGGGTTGGTGAATGATGAGGATGAAATTGGACCATATTTTTTTTGGTACTATGATGACAATTTTTACGAGTGCTCATTTTAAAGACTTCTATTTTAGGAGATGTAAAAATCTCATCTTTCATTTGTTATATTTAGGTTCAAAATAATTTCAACTTTATTGAAATTTAAAAGCTTTGGATCACCGTTAAGTTTTTAATGGCGGGTTAAAAAAATGTCTATTTTGTACAATAAAATGAAAGTTAAAATTAATTTCTTATACATCACAGTCAAATGTATGATTGTTCTAAAAAACTAAGTAAAGTTGAAATTATTTTGGATAATTTTTCCTTTAACTTATTTTATATATAAAAAATTTCTTTTTTTCACTATGACTTTTGTCTTTTTCTGATTTTAATTTTGTGCACTCCATCAAATTCAACTTTTGACATATAATCTATTTAAAATATATGATATGTTAATTAGATAAAATAATATTTTGAATATATTTTATAAAATAAATTTAATAAAATTATTTTTGTATTAATATTTTTTTATTAAATTTATCAAAAATGGTCAAAGTTTATTACAGAGTAATTTTAACTGTAGTCAAAACTAGATAAATATTTAGAGACAATATTTTAATTTTGGTTTTACATCTACAGTACTTGGTCAACTTTGTTTATTTGATACGGTATAAATAAGGTGAATATATCAAAATTCAATTTTGATTTAGCAATACCCATTCTTTTATTTGCTTTCTAAAAAACTAGGAAGAATATATTTTCAAATCAGATCTTTTTCCTTATTCTATTTTTATCAAATACGGAGTACATCAATCACGCGAGTAAGATGAGATGGAATTTTATATACAAGCACAGACCCCTTGAGTCTAGAAATATTTCAATAAATAATTTAAGTAATTTCAAATGGGACTTAGACATATCATTTCTTATAAAATAGAACCAGTCTTATCTACTCTAACATTTGGCAATGAAAAGTTCTAAAATATCATGCATTTAAGAAAAATGACATATTACATAATTCAAGTAGAATAAGACATTATAAAAAATAATTTGAATAGTCATTTAAAGAAAACTAAATTCAATAAAAGGTCTCCGGTAATAGATCATTTTATATATTTAGTCCCTATATATCAAATATTACTAATTTAGTCTTCAATTGTTATACTCCCTTCGTCCCCTTGTATTTGTCCACTTTCATTTTTACACATCATCCAATGCACTTCTTTAATCCATTTTATCTTATAATTTGTATATTAAAAAATTATAAAAAGTATATATTAATAATCTATATGTTAAGACAAATCAAACAAGATCGCAAATGACTATATTTAGGCTTACACATTGAGATAATTTGATGAGTCAAAGTGCTTAGATGAACAGTTCCAAAAGTCAAATGTAGACAAATACACTGGGGCGGGGGGAGTATCATTTTTCACGAATGGTCCTTTGTTAACGTTTTTGTTAAGGACATGCATAAAATTGTAAATTCATACTTCTCTCTTTCCTCAATTAAGATTCATCCCTCCTCTCGTACTCTTTCCCAAACTCGTCGCTGAGTTTCAAGCTCTAAACCCAAAGTCGACATTTTTAATCCTCTCGTATTCTTTTCCAAACTCGTCGTTGACCCCAGAGTTGACCGGTTCGACCGGTTAGCCCTTGACACACTCCCTTTTCTAGATCGACGCTTGGTCAGTTTTTCAAAACATTGGGTATACCCCATGCATGACGGTTAATTGAAGGACCAAAAATAGTTGGTGCACTTTAAGCTTAATTCTAATTTTGACACCACCATCTTCAGAGACATTTAACATCGTTTTGTGTCCTTACACTTTGGTGAACTAGGTAATGTGAAACATGGAATACACTTAGTAATATTCATCATTAAAGAATGTTGTATATTTTAGGGTAATTGGAAAAACAATGACCAATAGTATTCTAATAATCATCAAAGAAGTTTTAGTGGTGCAGAGTACACATTTGATTGAGTTTGTTTCGATAAAATCACATTATATCGGGGGTTCCAAGGGGCAGCGCCCCCTTGGCAGGGTTCGGGAGTAGTGCCCCCGAGCAGGATTCAAGGGGCGACAGCCCCTGCGAGGTCCAAGGAGCAGAGCCCCAGGCTAAGGTATGTTGAAAAATTCAATTGAATTTTTATTTTCGAATTTTTTTAAAGGAAAATTTCCTAAAGATAACACCGATTTTCTAAGGAGTTTTTATGCGAAGGATCGCGCGTCTTGGGTAAGAGACGCGATCGCGTCTCCTCTTCTCACCGCAACTCCATAAATTTCCCCAAGTCCATGGTTGAAACTTGATCGAAAATTTAATAGTATTCCATATTCGTTCTTGATACTTTTTTGTTTTATCCGATTGAATTTTGGATTGAACAACCAAAATATTTAATCTGAAAATGTTATACACGACTCTCGATTCATCCACGTTTTCGTTAATTTCCCCAACAAAGAATGTGGGGGTATTATTATGCCCAATTCCCGACTTACAGAACAACATACTACCTTCATTTTAAATTAGATTATAATTTTCGTATTAAGAAGTAAAATCCTATCTTTTAGAAAACAACATACTGTCTTTTAGAAGTAAATTCCCGACTTAACAACATACTACCTTCATTTTTTATTATTAAGAAATTAGTATAGAAATAGAGAACAAACTTACATGCGGAGTATTAAAAAGTTACATTAAATATTTTACAAAATAAGATGTGATAGAAATAATTTATTTTACCAAACAATGAACGAAAACACATGAATAAACAAAAATAATTTTTTAGGAGGTGCGAGAAAAAAATTGTACTCCCTCCGTCCACCTAAGATCTTCCCATTACGCGTATAGTAATAAACTACATGAAAAGTTCTACAAAACTAGAGGTGACAAGACTATGTTATTTTACGAAATGACTAGTAAAAATGAGCAAACAAAGAGAGTAAAGTTTGACCCTGTGAATAGTATCTAGGAAGATTTATGGTGGACAGAGGGAGTAATACGGATGAAGAATGAAACAGTTGCAGTACAACACATGATGGGAACTAATTCTGTCAATGCTTGCGTACAGTTTTAATTAAACAGCTAACCAGTACACTCTCTAGCCAATAATAATGCTCCATTTGTTTCACAATCATCACAACATTTATTCTAATCACAAATACTTGTCGTTTTCAAACTCGGTTCATTTCGCGGGCCCATTTCGCCACATGACGCGGTTTGGCCAACCACTGATCCGTCTAGCATTAAGAATGATAACCTGTTGATGGGCCTGGGTCCACGAAATAGAAACCAGGCCCACAAACTCATCTCAATGAGGATATCGCGACCCGTATATTGCGAAACAGACAACCCGATAACCCGACAGCAAGGACGAGAGGCCCAGGAAAACGAACCCGGCAAATCCTAACCCGATCGAGATGTAGGACTGGATGCAGAACGCATTGTTGTCCGTACACGTCCCCGAGCTCCTCAACGTCCGGGCGAACGCCGCGCCGGCCGCTCCCGCCGAGAGTGACATGTAGGCGAAGACCTACAGAAGCTCAATACGACGACGTATTTATCAGCCGTGTTCAGATTTGCGCAGGTTGGGTTAGGAAGGGGGAGGAAGTACCTGATCGTGGCCGAAATCGAACCAGACTTGGATCGGTTCCGGGAAGACGGTGGTGGCTCTGGCGATTTCCCAAACGGAAGCTCCGACTTCGAAGAGCGAATACGCGGCCACAATTCCGCTCGCAACCGCCACAAATCTGAGCAAATCGAGTCGAATCAGTCCGAAATTGAACCTGCAGCGCGTTGATTTTCAGTGAATTAATGGCTGCGGAGATGCGAAATGTACCTGAATGCGCCGAATTCGTGCCAACTAGGGGAACCGGATGAGTTCGAGAACATGAAAATGGCTGCGGCTAGTGAGAAGCAGAAAGCTCCGAAGCGGAAGACGAGCATGATGAGGTTGACGCGGCGAAGCTTCTGGACGGAGACGGTGGAGTGGAACGGGGGTTGGAATCTCGGCCCCGGCGAAGGGGTGTCTACAACGCCGTTCCGAGGCTGATGGGACCTCATTGTCTCTTTACCGGCCGCCGATTAAGATGCAGAGATGGAGAGATGATGGGAGGGAGGACATGATAGAGAAGAAGGAGAGCTTTTGATTGATTTTAATGGTGGAATTCATTCAGTGGGGGTAAGTTTATTTATGTAGGCGGAGAGTGGGTCACGAGAACGAACTAAAGGAAGTGGGAAAAATGGGAAAATGAAGAAAGAAGGCCGGCCATCAAAATAAATACTCTTTCCTACACAAAATAAAACCTATAAATAGTCTTCACTCTTTTGTATACTCACTATGTCCCTCTCACAATTATACTCTCTCCATCCAATAAAACTCACATTCAATTTTCACATGATCAAATTTTATTTATTTTATTGACTTATTTTTATGTCATATTTGATAAAATAATATAGTCATATAATTTCTAGTTTTTTTAAATCTTTTTAAGTAGTTTTAAATATGTAACTTTTATTTTTCAATTCATATCCATTTTTTATATAATTTAGTTTGAAAAATAATTTCAGACATATATCATATCGTGCAACGGAAATTTTATTTATGGACGGATGGAGTATCTATAGACACACATACATATGACTTCTAATGCCAACATTGTAAACGTATAATATCAAAAAATAAAACAACATATAAATATACAATGTTAATTGTAAAACTGTACAATGCTATTGGCAACATCCACAGTTAGGTGATGAAGGACTTGTTTGGAAATAATATTTTTGATTAACATTACCATCTTAGATTAAACGTCAACGCTGCATATTAATTTTTGTTGATATCATTTTTAAAACGATAACGCTAATCTTTAACATTGTTCCTAAATCCGCCCAAATATATGGTAGATGCTATTTTGGTATATACGATTAATGTTTGGTTCTAATTTAGATAGATTTTCTTTAATATTTCGATAAAGGGTAAGAGACACTTATTCATTTTTAGAAAGAAAATTGAAAAAACTTAATTATTAATTTAAACAGGGGAAATAGTATAAATTTTATTTTGGAAGAAAAAGATCAAGTAAATATCGTATAGATACATATGAATGACATGACAAACTTATTTGATAAAAGTTGTCAAAAAACTATATGTATAGAGTATGTATTATACGTTTCCTTTCATATAGGAGCATATTACTCCATGTATGAGAGGGATAATACTAGTTAAAAAATTATTAAAATAAACGATATTTAAATTGGATGTGTGATTTATTACCATTGTTCCTAGTTATTGAATAAAAGTTAAGGGGTGTGAAGTATTTTGTCAATATAGTTTTAGTGGGGGTTGGCTTAGGTTTCTCATTGCTAGTCACCAAAATGTCAAACACCAAAGAGACCAAATAATACTCCATATCATTAGTGTTGCCGGCAACTTCTAATAAATTTGAAGGTGTGAACAAGCACACCCATTCTTTTGAGGCGTTTAATTATTTTCTTCATTTTTGAAAAAAAAAAGCGATGAGCCTGAAAGTCTCTTCAGACTTGGTTTGATGATCACTAAGAAAAAGTAAATTGGAATTTAATTGCAGATTGGTGACAAAGAGTAAAGTCTGCATCTGGTATTTGTTAAGGCCTTATGCTAAGCATAATTACCTCCCAGCGTAGTTGACAATAATCGAACTCAAGTCTTACCTCCTTAACCCCTTGCCTTGCCAACTGTGCAATGATATGGACTAAAATCTAAGTATGTTTAATCACACAAAATGCGCAATGATATGCACTAAAATCACCAACACTTCCCAGGCTCATCGCCATCGTTAGTCTCACAGTCACTGCCAAATCTAGAAGACACATAAGAGATAAGAGGAAGAATAAAAAGGACGAAGAGAAGGAGAAGAACATGGAAGACAAAGAAGGGGGAGAAAGAGAAGAAAAGAAGAAGAAAAAGAAAAACAAGTCTAGAGATTATATTTGGCCGTCGAAAAAGAAGAATGGGAGAGAGAGGGAAATAGAGTATGAAAGTTAAACGGGTGAGGGGTACTTAGAAAAGTTTTGTATTAAAAATTGAAATGAAAAGATTAACTAAGAACAACAAAAAATAAATTAAAAAAATTACCCGAATAGAGGAGTATAATATAATTATGAATTTATGGTGAAAAATGCTTGTGCATATATTATAAAAAGATTCATACTTGGTCCGTCCCTGAGTGTTTGTTCACTTTTGACTTTTGGAACTGTTCATCTAAATACTTTGACTCATCAAATTCTCTCAATGTGTAAGTTTAAAAATAGTCATGTGTGATCTTGTTTGATTCGTCTTAATATATAGATTATTAATATATAATTTTTATAATTTTTTAATATACAAATTACAAGATAAAATGGATTAAAGAAGTGCATTGGATGATGTGCAAAAATGAAAGTGGACAAACGCTCAGGAATGGAGGGAGTAAATTCCTATGTGAACATTAAGGACTAACTACTCCGTATTTTAAAACATATCTAGCTACTTTTACTGTTCATATAATGTTTTCATTCTTTATTTGGCTTATTTATTTTTTAAAGTTTTTACATTAAATATTTGAATCAGTTTTTAAATATATAGGGTAAATTTTATTTTTTAACTTCACACTACAATTTTAACTAATTGAAAAACTATTTTAATTAAACATTATAAACTAAAAAGTACAGAGTAATTCTTTTCGAGACCAAAAGGGTATAAATTCTCGCCCGGCCATTTCAAATGCTCAACTTGAAATATAATTTTTCATTTTATAACCAGTATTGTCACAGGGCATTTGGTCTAGTGGTATGATTCTCGCTTAGGGTGCGAGAGGTCCCGAGTTCAATTCTCGGAATGCCCCTTTTTTTGTTGGATTCTTCAAACTTTTTTTAATTTCAAATACCCAACAAAAGACTTGCAACAATTTTGTTCGATTCTTCAAACTTTTTTTAAATTTCAAATACCCAACAAAAGACTTGCAATAATTTTGTGCAACATTTAACAATATGTTTTAATGAATATGAATATCTGACTCTTTCGAAAATATAAAATACTCCAAGTAATTATTTCCAACATTTATTATTATAATTTTGTAATGTAATTGATTTGATTACAAAATAGTACATATTTATATTTTTTTCAATATAATGACTCGCAATGAAAAATAGAGTAAATTCCATAATTGGTCCTTTATAACAGGGAGGGTTAAAAGTGGTCCTATATTATCAAATATTACACCAGTGGTCCTTTTATGGGTATTTTTCCACGAATAGTCCTTTTTTGATCTTCTATCATGTTGGTGTTAATTTGAGGGTTAAAAGTCTAATTTCGCAATGATAATATATCTTTTTTGTCATACACAATTTCAAAGACTATTTCGTTTCCATCGTTTGTGAATTACAGTCGCTTTTTAATACAACCATAGTCTACAAATATGGTATTTCGTTGGAATCCTAGCACACAATCATAGTCATTATTTTTGTGTTATCCGTTTAACTAATATCGGAACATGTCACTAAACATAATGTTGATGTCAAATTATACTTTTAGCCTTTAAATTAATACCAACATGCCAGAAGATAAAAAAAAGACCATTTGTGGAAAGACATCCTTAAAAAAGGATTACAAAAGTAATATTTGAATTGTGCAAACGAAGAGTCCATTTAGATTGGGATAGAATTTAATATTACTCCATAACTAATTGCTCATTTTTATGGGAGGGGCTTGCGCCACTTATATGGGCGAAAAGTTATCCGTCTATTTAGGCAGACCCGACCGCCCATTGGGCTTTTGGGCCCAAAAACAACATTAGGAAAAACATGTCAAATGCTTCATAAAATGAAGTCGAATATTTTACAATTTTACCATGTAAAATAGGCGTGGCTTGGCTCGCCCATATGGATAAGTATTGTTGCTCATATAAGCTACTCCGTATTTATCAGGGAGAGCCGGACTGATCCTTGTTTGCACAGGTTCAAATAAAGTCCAAATGAAATTCATTACACATACAAAATATAAATTATTCAATTGATCTTTTATTTGACCTTTTAGCCTTCAATAGAGCACTTTAATTTGGCAATTACAATCTATATTTATAGATTTTGTAAAAACATGTTATTTTAAAACGAATTTGAACATGCATTTCAAGGTTAGAGTTTGTCAAATTTGAAACAAAACACAAATTATATCATAAACTTAATTTGAACAAAAATAAAATTTGCTTACAGTTGAGATAGGTGTTTTTATATTCATTTTTTTTTTAAAAAAAATTAATAACTACAGAGTACTACTCCATCCGTCCCGAATTTGATTACAAATTGGGGTTTACGAAGAGAAATATCTCATTTTTTAAAATCATTTTATTTACAAGTCGGTATATCAATAAAAAATAAAATTAGGGACGGAGAGAGTTTATTTTTATGTGAGAATGTACACAACATTTCGTGAACCTTAGATACACCAAAGAAGCACATTAATAAAAAAGTCAAACAATAAAAAGAATAAATACTCTCACATCACATAAAAATCTTTTCATTTACTTAGTAATATTCACAATATCAAATCATATTTTGTTTGTTCCTTATGTTTTACTGATTATTTGTAATAATAATATAGTCAAATATTGTAAATTATACTATGGGGAAACTTTTATTTATGAGATGGAAAGTGTGTTTACTTTTAACTACTCCGTATATAACTTCACATTTGGGCTTTGACATCACAAAATTTATCAATCAATATTTCAAATTTTAATACGCAGCAATACTTAGATCAAATTAAAATATATTGTCATGCATAAATTTCAATAATTAAACATATCCTCATATTAGAATCATTAAATAATTCATGGAATATTTCATCATCTCCAAAAACATACTAATATAATAAAAATTTTCATTGTCAAGACTCAAGAATAAGAGAGTTCCTCCTGGCTCATAACTTACTCAATGCAATTAAAATGTGTTTGAGAGTATAAGAAAACAAATGTATGTATTGAACTGAACTAAGACCAAATATATTGAACTAAAATGAAAATAATTTGAAAAGAACATGCCCTCTATTTCATGGACATTCAAGATTGCTTGCTGAGAATGTGAATAAAAAAGTCCATGCAATGGGAGGAATAATATGAACTCTTACACAAGAACAAGAGCAATGCTTCGTTTGGAAACAACGTAACTAACATTAGACTTTTGGATAATTGTTTAACGTCACATATTAACTTTGAAAATATTAAAGCTAAAAGCCACCGTTGGATAAAACTTTCATAAGGTTAAAGCTTAACGTTGAAGCTATGACCAA